AGAAGCGGTGGGGGGGAGATATTCATGTTGCTGCAGTCTGACCGCTAGATGTCGCTAAAAGTTACACACTGTAGCTTTAAAATGATGCAGGGATTAAACAGAGAACAACTGAACCTGTTGGTAAATTGGGAAGCCTGAGTTTATAAATTTAAAATATGATAGACGAGGTTTGATATTTAATTATATTATTTTTTAGGGAGGTTCAGGCACCATAGAACCTGTAAGTTAATACTTTCTGGTAGCATTTGAAAACAACAAATGTCCTAAATTAAGTCCGATCAAATGAACAGGAATAAAAAAAAAAAACCTAATCAGTGCTGCCCACCTCCCACAGTCACAGAAATCCTATATTCAAAACACAGTAATACCAGTATCATGCTGTGGGTTGGAAAGATGATTGTAGGGTTTGTGGCATAGTAAACTGTTCAAGTAAAGTTGAAAACCCCCAAAAATGTCTGATTGAAGACGTAAAACGACTGAATGGGTGTAAATTACTACATCATCTAACTGGCTAGATTTTATTTACTAGATGCAAAAAGACAATCAGGATCTTAAGAGTCAAATAATAGGAATACAGAGTTCAAACCAGGGGCTGTCGCTTATGTAAGTTTAATAATAAACTACTTTACAAGAGAGGAATGGATCATAGCGCAGCAGTGTGAGGGAACGTGGTTATGTGAACGTAGGAGGGGGAATTTTCACAGTAGAGCAATACATCATGAGGAAATATAATTAATACATTCAAACCATTCTAGAGTATAAAAGCCATAGGAGTCAGTGTGGTGGCACTAATGCAGTCTCACACTGTCACCCTGCCTTTTACTTGAGGCTCCATCTCTGAGCCAATACTCAAGTGACCTCAATCAAAGCCATGTTTAGAAATATAAGCCACACCGTTCAACTCAATGGAGATTTAATGATCTCTCTTTACAGCAATGAAGTACTGATTTATTGATCTATTATCTATTCTTCTCACAGACGGTGACAACTTGAAATTTGTACAAAAAAACATGCACCAGAAAATGGTTTGAAATAGTTGCATATTATATTTATTCAGTTTTTTTTATTAGTCTACATCTAAATTATCTCAGAATGTGACACTTCTACTCTCACACTTCCATCCACTCCTTACCCTCTGTGCCATTTCTGTTTGGTCGTTTTTAATCTGCATTTTGTACTATCCAGCTATGTAAAATACCCAACAAATGTTCAGAGAAAACATCAGTATACATTTTGAGAATAAAGTTTAAAACTAATATCCAGAAAGCATTGGCTTTTTTTGACTTTTTTATGTAGAAGCATTTCTCTAGCAGTGCTTAGTATGTGTCAACACGCTTTTCAGGAGAAAAAAAAAAGAATGACTTCTATGTGATCGACCTAAACAAAGGGATGCATGGCATCAAAGTGGGTTTGTGGTCAGCCTCTATTCTTCAGTTCTTTGCAACACATTTTGCTGCAGTTAAATTAGCACCTCTCATTGGACAGTGTCTAAATATTAAATCGTTTTGCTGATTCTTTTTTGCAAAATTGGTCCCAGCTCAGGTAATATTTGTGAACATCAACTTTTCAGGTCTTTCTCCAGATTCTCCTCTGGATTTCAGTCTGGAATTAGACTATGACACTCTTACACATATGATACATGTCTAAGGTTGTGTCCTGCTGGAGGACAAACCTCCCAACCAGGCATGTCCATAATCAGTCCAAGGAGCACATACCACATACCTGCATACACAATTTACATGTATCTTGCCGCCTTAAATATTTTCTTACGTGATCAACAGGAATGTGGCTCCATCTCTCCTCCCATCGGCTCTGACAAGCTTCCCAGTTCCTGCCGGAGAAACTCATCCCCACACCATGATGCTACTACTACCATGTGACAAATAAAGGGCTTAGTGTCCGTTTTCTAACTTGTTGTCTCACGTTTGATTCAGGTCTCACCACACTCACTTTCCAGATCTGCTCTCTTTTTCACACGTGGAAAAGACTAGAAACTCTAAAACTATAAAAACTAGATTTTTTTTTCCATAGTTTTATTGTAACTCTTTCTTAAACACCAAATCACTGAAGTGTGAAGCTGTTGTACTGTGAACAGATTGCTTTAGGTGAGCTGTGATAAACGTCTTATTTGTTACTTGTCTGATTAATAAGACATGTTTTTAGGTTTGAGGTCATATTACACAAAGGAGAACTCATGTGTACATGAGTACGCCTGTTTTATACAAAAAAAAAATATATATATATATACCGGTATATATATATATATATCATATATCCCTTTTCTTAACGCCCTTCCACATGTCGGTCCATTAGATAGGTGTGTTGTATTCTGTGTGTACTACAACACACCAGCATTTACGTTTGCTTCATGACGGAATGTGGAAAAAGTCCTCCCACTCCAATCTAAATACCTACATTATTCAACATTTGCTTATAACTCAAGAAATGTGCATTAAAATGAACTTCAGAGTTTAGTTTATTGAGTATAAACAGTTGGATAGGGACAGAAAGGGGAAAAAAAGAGATGAAACACATTTTAAACAGTCAATGTTTTCCAAAGTCAAGCTGCATACACATTAAAAATAAACAAATGTTGCTTTACATTCCAGTAGCTGTTGGTGACACGAAGAAGAGATGGCTGCAAGGCAGTTATAGACTAATTAGATGTTAATTTAACATTAACAGGCTGAAGATGATCGCTTATATCCTCACAAAGCACTAAACAAGTCAATGTCGACCTTTACAAACGCAGGCGCCTGCCTGCAGCCAAACCATTGTCTGTTTTTCATAACAAATAAGCCAGAAGATGTTGATGGGAAACAGGTTCGGCGCTACCATCATTAGCCGCTCTGTACCCAGTGAGAACATGACAGGAACCAGCAGATACATTCGGCCTTTACCCCTTAATTAACTCATTTACATGCTGTGTATATCCATGCGTCCTGCTGCCAGCTGTAATTCCTCAGCCTAGCTGTTAGACAAAGAAATATTAAGATGATGCATTTTATGGTGAGGTGGAACATTTACTGCAGCTGTCTGCTAAAAAAGAAAGACGGGAGCTTCAGTAATACGACTGTTACAACACAGTATTTGGGATTATATCATCATATACCTTAAAAAAAAAAAAAAAACGGCAAGTCTCACTAAGCTACATAATATCCCCTAAAACAGAAACAATGCCCAAATGACAGGAGAAAAAACAATATATATAAATTACAAATGTGCTTCAGGACTGAACATTTGTTTTTTTATGTTTACAGATGGTGGGATTACAGAACATGGAGGGAAGTTTATTGATTTAACTGATTTATGAAGGAGTTTGTTATTTTGTATCTGAAAGTGATAAATATTTACCAAGATGAAAAAATGTTGGATTGAGAGAATAACAGGCAGATAAACAGTTACAGAATATTTCATATTTACATCAACACTGTAATCTAAGAAGAAAACCTATAAAAAACAAAACAAAAAAAAACCTAAAGATAAATGTAAGACAGCGGATGGTTTAATGGAACATCCTGTCATCCTTTCCCCAGATTCAGTGTTGATATTAGACTAAATGCTTTAGGAACAAATAAATTAATGAGTGATTTGTATGTAATGCTTCTCACAGGATATAGTCATATTTATACAAAAACCTCAAGTCTCCCTCAATCTGAAGCATCTGACGTATTTATAGGAAAGGTTTTTAATTCCAGCATGAAAAGATTTGTTCTGATTCACTCCAAAAGGCACATTTGGGATTCAAATGGTTCTTTGAAATAGCATTTACAGGTGCATCTCAATGAAGCATTGTTTCATCAAAGGGGTATTTCTAATCATTCAAGTCAGAAAGTGACACTCGTTACACAAGTTATATATTTGAAAGTATGTTTTAGCTAAATCTTATATATTTTTTTTATCTATATCGAATGACTGCATACCGAGTGATTAGTATAGTCTTTACCAAATAAAACAAAAGGAGCATAAGGACGTTTGTTATAATGGTTGAAAGTGGAATAAACCACACTGTGTTTTGAGGGTCACTTTCTGAATGAAATGAATGCTGCTCTATAGACGTTTCATTGGGGTACACCTGCGCATCTGAAACGGCAAACACAACATGGGAACCAAGTTAAACTAGACAGCTTAATTCTCCAACCATGTCTGCTTGGCTGTTAATTAAATAGAGGTTTCAGATGAAAACAATATGCCACACATTGAACTTTATTACATATTTAACCTTGGATTCGAGTGCTATATTTCTAATTGACTTTTCCTGTTAGATCTCTTAACTACAGTTTTCAGCGGGGATCAGTGACCTTGGCCGTTTATTTCACAGCACACACACAGATAGTGGGGAAAGCTGACGACCTGAGCTCCTTCCCTCACGGTGGATGTTAAGCTGCCACAGGCCTGGTGGATATTTGGTATCAAACAGCAGCGATGAGTGGTCAGTCACTTCCTCTTTGGTTCAGTTTCTGATTCCCACACTGCTTCAGATGCTCCTGCATAAGCTATTAACAATGAGTAGCAGACTGTGTCAAAGGCACACTGCTGGGAAAATGTCTTTAAACCCAATTTCCTTTTTTTTTGTTT